ACAGAAGCTTCAGGGTCAGAGCAGGAACCCCTATGGCCCCAAAGCTGGTGATGTAGCTCAGAGGGGCCCAGTCCCCTGAAGCCAGGACAGGCTTACCCTGCCCCTCGCTCCCCGGTGAGCCACAGTCATCAGAGTCATTGTGGGGCAGCAGAGGTTTTATTGGCGCTCAGAGACAGAGAGTGACGTTCCCAGGGAATGTCCAGGGTTAGCAGGGCCAGCCCTGACCAGTGAATGACAAGTCCTAGAGCAAAGAAGTGCCCTGTGGAGAAGCCAGGGCTCCATGGACTGAGGCCAGGGGAGTAGCAAGCGGGCATCACAGATGCCAGACCTGGTGGGCTGTGGTTGGGCTGCTCTTTCTCTGAGGTTGGGCTGTGCTAGGGTTGAGCAGGCTGGGAGGTCAGGGGCTTTCATGGACTGGCAGAGAGGGAGACCTGAGCTCAGCTTGTTCTGGGTGACATGCCCACCAGCTCCTCTGTCTTGAGAGGCCTTAGCAGACTGAGCGGGAGGACACGGAGTAACAGGAGAGGGACACACAGGAAGCGGGGCGGCAGCAGCTGGGCTGGCAGGAGCATAGCAGGAGGGGGTGAGCACGCAGCAGGTGGGCTTGCACACGGGGTGGTAGAGAAGGGGCATACAGGGGGAGGGTCTGCAGCAGGAGGAGGGGCAGCAAGCCTGCTGGTAGCCAGACTGCTGGCAGCACAAAGAGGAAGACCCAGAGCAGAGGGGCACATAGCAGATGGGCTTGCAGGACACAGTCTTGAAGAAGAAGGACATGCAGCAGGGTTGCTGGCAGCGGGGAGAGGTGCAGCAAGAGGGCTGGTGGCCAGACTGCTGGCAGCATAAAGAAGAAACCTCAGAGTAGACAGGCTTGCAGCAGACAGGCACATAGCAGGCCTGCTGGCTGGGGGAGGAGGGACAGCAAACCGACTGGCAGTTAGACTGCTGACATCATGAAGAGGACACCCCAGAGCAGATGGGCTCACAGCAGATAGGCTTGCAACAGATGAGCTTGCAGCATACAGGAACACAGCAAGCTGGCTGGCAGCTAGACTGCTGGCAGCATGAGGGCATGCAGGAGCTGGTGCAGCATGACGGGCAGGGACTGGATGCACAGCTCACTGGGGTGCAGACCAGGCTCAGGCAGGGGGCTGAGGTGCAGCAGCTGGGGGCACAGCAGGGGGGCTCACAGCAGCTCTCTGGGCAGTCATCTACCTGCCAAGATTTGGAGCCAGGGTCACAGGATCCAGGCACGTAGACCCGGTTACTGTAGCTCAGGTCACTAGAGCAGATAGACATGGTAGACGCGGCCATGCTGGGTGGTGGGCAGAAGGTAAACTGGAGGAGGGAGTGAGTGAATGAGTGAGGGTGTGAGGGCGTGAGTCATGTGTGCAGGTCAGGGTTGTGTCTTTTAAACCCTCTAGCCGTTGTTGTCCAAGCCCCACAGTCTCCCCTTCCTTGTTGGTCAGAGCCAGCATCTGCTGCCATCAGGGATGTTTGTTTTCTATGTAGTCCAGCTCATAAATGTCCTGCCCCATGTGGCAGCAGTTGGGAGTGTGCTCCTAACCAGGCTCTGAGAGTCGTGAAGACTGTGGCTCAGATGGATTCGACATACCTGTGGCTGCCACTGTTTGCTGGGTCATTGCCCAGTCTCTGGCCTTGCAGACCCAGGATGATGCCTCCCTCTGCAGGAAACTGACCCTTAGGAAGTGTTTTTTGGGCTGCAAGCAACTCATCCAGCGGTTCCTCTCCCATCCTGGAATGCAGTGTCTACCTTGTGAGGGATATCTTAGTTTCCTTGGGCATCAGTGACCTGTCCAGGGCCACTGTTTCTGTTCTCAGACCCCTTAGCCCAAGCTCTGACAGATTTCTTATCACTACAGCCTCTTCCTCCTGCCCTGTGTCCACTGCCCACCTTGTCCTTGAACTTGGGAGGCAGCAGGACTCTTCTTGAAACATTTGCCAATACTCAGGTCACAGCTAAGAGGCTGAAAGACCACGCAGGGCATTTAGTATTCTCATGGAATTGGGAGAGTTCAGTACCTGACAAGGTGCAGGGTTCTGGGGAAAGACCCAGGCTTTCAGTTTAGAACACTGAATATAAGTGAAGGGATACTCACTAGGATGAAGAGAAACCCATAAATAAGTCTGAAACCCTGGATCTGGGTGTGATGGCTCATGCCTGCAATCCCAGCATTTTGGGACTTCTAAGTGGGAGAATTGCTTGAGCCCAGGAGTTCAAGACCAGCCTAGGCAACATAGTGAAAACTCATCTCTACAGGAAAATAAAAAATTATCCAGGTGTGATGTTGTGTGTCCATAGTCCCAGCCACTTGGGAGGCTGAGGTGGGAGGATCACCTGAACCCAACAGTTCAAGGCTGCAGTGAGCCATGATCTTGCCACTGCACCCCAGTCTGAGTGACAGAGGAAGACCCCCTTTAATAAAAGACTGAAGCCCTCTTTTCATATGATCTGTGCACGGCATAACTGCCTACCAGAACAAAAGTTGTTCTCCTCTGGAGCCTGGTAACATCAACAGAGATTCAAATAATCTTACAAATTTTCATACACAAAGTCTGGCATTTCATCAAAAATTACTAGGCATGCTAGAAGGCAAGCCCAATTGACCAAAGGAAAAAGAGAGGAAAAAAAATATCAAACAATAGACTGGATGTTGTAGCTCGTTCCTATAATTCCAGCACTTTGGGAGGCAAAGGTGAGAGAATTGGATTTAAGATCAACCTGGGCAACTTGGCAAGACCTCATCTCTACAATAAATCAAAAAATTAACCGGGCATGATGGCACATGCCTGTAGTTCCAGCTACTTGGAAGACTGAGGTGGAAGGATCTCCTGAACCCAGTAGGTTGAGGCTGCGGTGGCCATGAGCATGCCACTGCACTCTAGCCTTGGTGACAGAGTTAGACTCCAACTCAAAAAAAAAAGAAAGAAAGAAAAAATCAAACAATAGAAATAGACCCACAGGAGATCTAGATATTAGAATTATCAAGCATGGATTTAAAGTAATTGTGAATAATTTGTTCAAGAAAATAGAAGAAAAGGTGGAGAATTTCAAGGATAAACTGGTTTCTATGATAAAATATCAAGACACAATTCTAGAAATGAAGAATACAATAACTGAAATTAAAACATAATAGATTATTAGTTTAACAGCATATTCTAAAAAACCAAAGAGATGTATAGTGAAAGAAGGCAAATGAGGAAATATTGAGACTGAGCCCAGAGAGGGAAAACAATAAAAATAAGAAGAGTGGAGCAGTATGTATAAAGAACGTGGTGAATACATTGATAAAGGACACTAACCTATGGATGCACTAAGCATTTAAGACTCTTTTGCAAGGTAAACAAAGAAAGCCATTCCTGGACACAGTGGAGTTGAAATGCAAAGACAGAAAATTCTAAAATCAGTCAGAGAGAAAAGCACATGTTGCCTTCAATGAAGCAACAGTAGTATCTACAGGTGACTCCCTAGTAGAAATTGTGCAAGACAGGACAATGGAATGAAATCTTCACCATCTGAAAGAAAGTGAGCAATGACTGAGAATTCTACATTGGTGACGAATATCCTGAAAAATGAGGACAGAACAAGCAGTCACTGAGAGGATGTGTCACCAGCAGGAACTGTAAACAAGAAAATACTAAAAGAGCTTGAAGACAGAAAGAACATGATCACAGATGGAAGCAGGAAAATTAATAAGGTAATGAAGTGTTACAGAAGAAGGGCACACGTGGGAAAATAAAGATGAATATAAAATGTCTTGTTAGTTGTAAAACATTTATAGAAATAAAATGTATGGCAATAAGATCACAAGTCAAAAGGGGGTTACATGGAGTAGAAGTGGTCTAAGCACACTGTATTGTCTTGGGAGTACTATGATATATAATTTACATTACACCTTAAAATGTCACAGATTCATGTTGTAATTTCCACAAGAATAGGAGCAGAATATACAACTAAGTTGGAAGTAGATGAGTGCCAAGGGTTGAAGAGCCTTCCCAAAACTTACATCCACCCAGAACCTCACAATGTCTTTGCAGATGTAAGTGGTTAAGACAAGGTCATACTGGATCATAGTGAGACATAAATTCAATGTCTAATGCCTTTATAAGAGAAAAGAAAGAGAAATTCAGACTCACACACAAAGGGAAGAAGACCATGTGACAAGAGAGGCAGAGATTAGGGTAAGGTAGCTACAAGCAAAAGGATGCCAAGGTTTTCTGGGAGCTACCTGAAGCTAGAATAGGTGAAGAAATATTCTCCCCTAGGCTCAGAGAAAACAAAGCACTTGCTGACACCCTAATTTAAAAGTTTTAGCTTCCAGAACCAGGAGAGAATAAATCTCCACTGTTTTAAGTTACCCTATTTGTGATAATATGCTAAGGAACCCAAGTGTTGGGGAAAGAATGGCCTGAGACCAAGGTTGTCCAGGGACTCCACCAGTGAGCAAGGCTTCTGGAACCCCCAGGACCTGGAAGGATGATGGGACAGCAGAACATGCAACAAGGTGGACAGGAGCTTCAAGGGGTCATGTGCAAGAGCCCTCAAGTCCCCCACAGTTGCTGATGTAGAGTTCAGAGGGGCCCAGCCCCCCAGAGCAAGGACAGGCTCATCCTGCTCCTCCCTCCCCAGTGAGCCACAATCATCAGAGTCACTGTCGGGCAGTAAAGGTTTTATTGAAGTTCAGAGGCAGAAAGTGACATTTCTGAGTACACATCAGGGGTCAGCAGGGCCAACCCTGACCAGCGAATGATGAGACTTGGAGCCAGGAAGTGCTCCATGGAGCTGCCAGGGCTTCCATGGTCTGAGATCAGGGGAGAAGCAAGTGGGCATCTCAGGTCCCAGACATGGTGGGCTGTGCGTGGGAAGGGTCTTTATCTGAGGTTGAGTTGTGCCGGAGGCTTCCAAGTACAGGCAGGGAGGGAGACTTGAACTTGGTTGGCCCTGCAGACTGTGCCCATCAGAACATATGTCTGCAGAGGACTCAGCAGGCTGGGCGGGAGCAGCTGGGCTGGCAGGAAGAGATGGGGGCACAGCAGGAGGAGGCGGGAACGCAGCAGGCAGGTCTGCACACGGGGCGGCAGAGGAGGGACACAGAGGAGGCTGGGCGGCAACAGCTGGGCTGGCAGGAGGAGGCAGGGGCACAGCAGCAGGGGACAGGCACACAGCAGGCGGGCCTGCACACGGGGTGGCAGAGGAGGGATACGCAGGAGGAAGGTCTGCAGCAGGAGGAGGGGCAGCAACTCGGCTGGCAGCTAGACTGCCGGCAGCACGAAGAGGAAGCCCCAGAGCAGGTGGGCACACAGCAGACAGGCTTGCAGGACACGGTCTTGCAGCACACGGGCACACAGCAGGGCTGCTGGCAGGGGGAAGAGGTACAGCAAGAGGGCTGGCAGCTAGACTGCTGGCAGCAGGAAGAGGATGCTCCAGAGCAGATGGGCCCACAGCAGACAGGCTTGCAGCAGATGAGCTTGCAGCAGACAGGAACACAGCAAGCTGGCTGGCAGCTAGACTGCTGGCAGCATGAGGGCGTGCAGGAGCTGGTGCAGGCTGACTGGCAGGGGCTGGACGCACAGCTCACTGGGGTGCAGATCAGGCTCAGGCAGGGGGCTGGGGCGCAGCAGCTGGGGGCACAGCAGGGGGGCTCGCAGCAGCTCTCTGGACAGTCGTCCACCTGCCAGGACTCGGAGCCAGAGTCACAGGACCCGGGAAGGCAGACCCGGCTGCCATAGCTCAGGTTGCTGGAGCAGACGGACATGGTGGATGCGGCCATGCTGAGGGTTGAGCTGGGAGAGGGTGCGAGTGAGTGAGGGACAGAGTGAGTTAGGGAATGAAGGTGTGAGTGAGAGAGTGAGGGTGCGAGGTGCTCTGGGCAGTCGGGCTTTTATACCTGGCCCAGGTATGTGTTGTTCTAGCCAGAGGCTCCACAAGCTTCCCCTTTCCTTGTTTATGTTTTGAACTGGATCCCAGGAGCCCTTATTAATTCTGGTCTGTTTACACAAGTGTTTGCTGAGCCTGTGAAATGCATGGTTAGGGTTGAGGGCTGTGTTGCTGCCCTGACCCCTAAGCAAACATCTCAGGGAACACCCATCTTCCTGGAGCCCTGCCAGCCACAGCCCATCTGCCAAGCTCTCTCTCTGTCTTGTTCAGGTGAGGAGACTTGTATCCCCCGTCTCTGTTCCTGGACCACATGGAGCTGGAAGTCCTGACAGAGTGAGGCCCCTCATTATGAGAGCTGCTCACCAACTGTAGATGCACCTCAGAAAGAAAGGAAGTGTGGAGGTTGGATAGACCAGCTAGAGAGAAAAGGGGCTAGTGGGAAGATCGACAAAGTGTCTCACACACACCACACAATGACAGATACGGAATATGTCAACAAATACCAAAGAGAACCATGATTCTTGAGGAACTTCCAATGTTCATCCAAAGGATTCCAGAAAGAGAGCAGCAGAAGGTAGAAACAGGAGAGCACGTCCCAGAGCTGAAGGGACACATGGATCTTCAAATTTGACATTTGACCAAACATGGGATAATATGCAGCAGTGCCTTTTCTTCCATTCCTGATATTGATAATTTTGTCTTTATCTTTTCCCAGTGAGTTTAGCTAGGTGGTAACTAGATTTATCTTTTGAATAAACAAGCATTAGTTTCATTTATTTTCACATTGTTTGCAACTTTCCACTTAATTGGTTTGTCCTTTGATCTTTATTATTTAATACTTTATGCCTGCTTTGGGCTTAGTTTAATCTTATTTTTCCACTAAATATTTTAGCTTATTCATGTCATTACATTTAAAGTGTATGTCTTGCAGGAAGCATAACTAGAATTAGTTATTTTATCCAATCTGACAGCCTCTGTTCCTTCTTCTCTCTTCTTCTTTGGGAACTCCAACTACACATATATGAGGTTACTTGAAATTTTCCATAGCTCACTAATGCTTTGTTTGGTTATTTTTCTTCTCTGTGTTTCATATTAGAGAGTTTCTATTGCTTTGTCTTCAAGTTCACTTTATTTTTCTTCTGCAGTGTTTATTTGGCTGTTAATCTCATCCAGTGTTATTTCTACCCCAGGCATCACAGTTTTCCTCTCTAGATGTTCTATTTGTGTTATTAAAAAGATCTTTCTCACCTTTGTTTAATATGGTTGATCTTTCTCTAACTTCTTGAACATATGGGATGGAGTTATGACTCTTCAATGTCCATGCTTACTAATTCTATGATCTGCAACAATCTGGGTTGTTTTCAATTGGTTTTATTCTAAGTATGTGTTATGTTTTCCTAGTTCCTTGAATGTCTAATAATTTATGAGTGGATACCCAACATGGTGAATTTTACCTTGTTGGGTGCTAATCTGGGTTGTTTTCAATTGGTTTTATTCTAAGTATGGGTTATGTTTTCCTAGTTCCTTGAATGTCTAATAATTTATGAGTGGATACCCAACATGGTAAATTTTACCTTGTTGGGTGCTGAACATTTTGTATCCCTAAGAATATTGTTCTAGAGCTCTGTTCTAGGAGGCAGTTCAGTTGCTTGGGAAGTTTATTCCTTTGAGTCTTGTATATAAGTTTTGTTAGGCAGCACTAGACCAATAGTTACTCTAGGGCTAACTATACACCCACTACTCAGTTACCTACCAAATGTCTGGAGCATGCTAGCATTTCCTACAATGGCAGGTAGGAGCAAGCACTGTACCTGGCTCTGCTGGATCTGGGGGTTATTTTCATCTATGTTCATTGGCCTCCCCAATTTCAGTCCCATGCACATTTACTGTTCACTACTCAAGAGAACACATAAGGGGAATGCTCTGTGGGTGTAGAGAGAACTCTCACTGCAGCTTTGCCTCTGTAGTTCTCTGTCCTAGGAACACTGGCTGCTCTGGTCTCTCCCAATGCCAAATTTATCACTGTAACTTGGGCTTCTCCTTCAGCACCATGGCCTGGAACCTTTCTCTAGGCAGAGAAGAGGGACAACTCTGAGATTCCATGCTTGTGTTCCTCTAGCAGGGAAGCCTCTGCTGTACTGCCTCAGGCCCAAGAGCCAAACATGTGTTCCATGATCTTGTTAAATGTTTTAGGTGACCCAGGTGAGAGGGTCAATCAAACCCCTCTGACTCCATCAAGGTTGGAAGTGAATTCTCTGTTCTTCTCACCTTTGTTTCTACTCCTAGTTGGCCTTCTGCCCTGGAAGGAAGCCCTGTGGTGGGTTCATTTCTAGAGTTCACAATAGCTGAAGTATTTCAGCTCTGTAAGACTTTCTTCCTCAGGCCCTGTATTCAGTGGCTGATGGATTGGTGGACCCTGCCCGGCCCAGTGGCTGTTCACACCCTGGCCTCACTTCCAGGAGTCCTGGGTTTCTGTACCCAGGCCACCGCTCCTTCAGTGTTCCACTCAGTGTCCTCCTGCACAGACCTCAGCTCCCAGCTTCCGATCCCTTCCCACTTGCATTTGGAACTTTGGGTGCTGTATTGTCATTTAATTTTGTCTTAAATGGAACTTATGGGTTTTTGTTTTTCTATTTGGTAAATCTGCCTGTTTTTATTCAAGATTTAAGGTGACTAAAATGCCTCAGGCAGCACAATTTTCCAGAATCCCCGAATATTCCTTCTTGATTCTAGTAGATGAAAGCTCACAGCAAAATGGAAATAGAAAGACTTGGTATAAACATAAAAACTATAGGCTGGGTGTGGCGGCTCATACCTATACTCCCAACACTTTGGGAGGCCAAGAAGAGGGAATTACCTGAGCCCACGGGTTCAAGACCAGCCTGGGCAACTAGGCAAGACCTCATCTCTTCAATAAATCAAAAGATCAACCAGGTGTGGTAACACATGCCTGTAGTTCCAGCTACTTGGAAGGCTGAGGTGGAAGGATCACCTGAGCCCAGTAGGTTGAGGCTGCAGCGACTGTGAGTGTGCCTCTGCACTCCAGCCTGTGTGACAGAGTGAGATTCCAACCCAAAAAAACACATAAATAAAAAAAAAGTTATCTACTTAAGATCCACAGCAAACACCATGTTTAGTGGTGAGCCTTGGAAGCATTTTCATGACAATCGGGCAATCAATGATGCATATAGTTCTATTCACATCATTCTGGGTGTTTATAGTAGAGTGGAAAAAGAAAAATGTAGCATAAATGCGAATTATAAAGACTGGAAATAAAAAGTTCAGTTCTCACTATTTTCAGAAGATGAGTTCATCTGCACACAAAATCCAAGAAAACCAACTGACAAACTGAAAGAATTAAGAAAAGAATTAAGAAAAGAATTTACAATGGAGCTAAAAATATTCCTTTATACTAAGACTATATATATCTATAAAACATTATAGAAATATTACCTATAACATATATGCTAAGATAACATAAGAGCAAAACTCTTCCCATTCACACTAGCAAAACATCCCTATGAAATCCCAAGGATTGAGGAGTGGAAGTGGGGTGATGAAGAGACTCTCTTTTTCCTGGTACTTACTTTCGTTGCAAAATAATGGACTTTTTAAAGCAAAACTAACAATGACTGCGGGGTTGGGACAGTGCAGGAGTATGTGCCGTCAATAAACACAGGACACAAGGGCCATTCTACTCACATGTCACTGGTGCAGACATGGAAGCAGCTCATCAGCAATTTCAGTTCCACTGTCTTTTCCAACATATCTCTGGTTTGTTTTTTCCCTTCTTTACCAATTGCTGATCTGCCTATAGAATATAAAAACATTTAATTTTTGAAGCAAAAATTGGGTACAATTACGAGTCAAAATTGCAAACGATTTTGAAGAAATCATCTAGCATTGCAATTTGGTGAATGTCTTTTCTCATTCAAAGTTTCCCTGGTTCTTGGTATCAATGACTTTCAATTAAATCCTGAACATGCTGGGGATGGTGGCTCAAGCTATAATCCCAGTACTTTGGGAGGCCGAGGTGAGAAGATTGCCTGAGCCAACGGTTTAAGAACAGCCTTGGCAACTTGGTGAGACATCATCTCTACAATAAAAATTTTAAAATTAACTAGGCGTGGTAGCACGTAGTTCTGGCTACTTGAAAGGCTGAGGCAAAAGGATTACCTGAGCCCAGTATGTTGTCGCTGGGATGGCAGTGAGTGTGCCACTGCACTCCAGTCTGGGCAATAGAGTGAGACTCCAACTAAAAAAAAAATCCTTGACATGTGGGCACAAAGAAAAAAGAAAAGAAAACCCAAGATATTACTCCAGTAGAAATATGTTAGATTTATGGTCAACCTACAGGAGAAAAAGATAAAATTCTAAGTGGACATACTTTACTATGTAACTGTGAGGCAAAACTTAAAATTACAGTTTTGTACTAAGTAGTCAAAAGCTCAATGTAATCCCAATCAAAATGCCAGCAGGTTTTAAGATAACTTGAAATGCTATCTAAAATTAATTGAGAAAGAGGATAGATACAAGATATAACTAAAATTTTAGAAATAAGAAAAAGTAAGCCGGGCTCGGTGGCTCAGCCTATAATCCCAAGCTTTGAGAGGCCGAGGTGAGTGAATTGCCTGAGCCCGTGGGTTCGAGACCCACCTGGGCAAGTTGGCCAGACCTCATCTCTACAATAAATCAAAAAAATGAGCCGGGCGTGGTAGCGCACGCCTGTAGTTCCAGCTACTCGGAAGGCTGAGGCGGAAGGATCGCCGGAGCCCAGCAGGTCGAGGCTGCGGTGGCCAGGAGCGTGCCTCTGCACTCCAGTCTGGGCGACAGAGTGAGACTCCAACTCAAAGAAATAAAAAATAAAAATAAAATAAAATAAGAAATAGGACAGTGATGCCTGCCTTATCAACAATTAAAACATTTCCAAACCTAAGTGGATAGAACATCCTGGAACGGGTGCTAGGCTAGATCGAGACACACATGGAAGTAAATGGAGATGTCAGAAGCCGACAGCACAGGAACTTTTATAAGATGAAGGAGGGACAGGAAGAATAGACTAGCTTTTTAACAATCGGCTACTGAGGGGTGGGAAAAATGATATTTCAAACCTCACACAAGTCATACTAACAATGGGACGCAAAGCTAAATCCAAACAGTAATATGAGAAAAGTTCTCGCACATTGAGAGGATACGTTCCCAACCTCAAGGCTGTGCTATCAAGAGGCAATGCCTGGTGGAAAATGTGGGACTGCGGGTGATGGACTGAGGATGCCAGCCCTGAATCCACAAGAAAGGCACGAATACAACATAGGGAAGATGAACAGGCCATGTGGAAGGAAACAGTGTGGGTTACATGTACTTAGGACGTGTGGATCCTAGCAACCGTCCAAGTTGGGCCCAGGACCAAGGACAAAGTCAAGAGCTAGTCAGGCTGAGCCAGGGTTGGGTTGGTTCCTGAGCCCCTGACAGGGCAGTGGGCAGCAGTCACTCAGAGATCACGCCTTGAGTCTGTGTTCCTCTTTATTGCATTTTGGCTTCCTATGGCCACGGCAGAGCCACGGGCCCTCAGGCTCCCAGCATGAGGGGCACTATGGGGTGCCTCTCAGCATCCTGGGTGCTGGCGTTCGTCAGCAATGGCTGTCCAGGCAGGATAGTGTCGTGATCTCTGGGGGACCCAGGAAACCTTCAAGGCTGAGGACAGCCCTGTGACCACTCCCCAGTGTAGTGGCGCCTGATACGCTGCTGTTCTTACCGTGTTCCCCAAGGATGACCTTCCTATAGGAAGCTCATGCTTCCTACGTAGACCAAGTATTGCAAAGAGTTTGGCAACCACTGTCCATGTAGGGACACATGGATCATCACTGGGAGCCACGACTCTACATTCCTACACCCCTGCGTGGGCCCTGGTGCTCCCCGTGGAGGACTGAGAAGTGCCCTGACTTCAGGGAATCCTAATAGTATGTAAGTAATGCATCTGTTTCAATCAGGTCATTGATCTCCTATGGACTTGGAGCCACTCCTTTCTCTCTCCCATCATGTTTCTGCTGAACATGAAACCTGCAGGCAGACAGGACACCAGGGAGGGTGACCAGGCCCATAGACTGAAGGGTAGGATGGCCCAGGCAGGACAGCTGGTGGGATCAGGCCAAGGGATTAGGAGAGCCCACAGACCAGGGCATGACTGGGGACACCAGCCTCAGAAAGCCCTGGATACCAGGGCCGGGCAGTAACTGAGCCTTCCTGAGCATAGCTGTGTGTTCCACCTGGTGATCCACCCTGAGGAGTGAGGCCACCATCCCTGTGATTTCTAGGATGAGTCACTCACTCCTAGATGTATACATGGCTGGAGAGAACCACTGCTCTAAATCACAGGTCCCTCATGAGCACGGAGGAAGAGAGAATTGGTGAGCAAGTGAGTTTATTGGGAAGCCCAGGGAGGGGCTGGCAGGTCATGTTGAGGCTAGGTGACCCTCAGCAGAAGACTTTGGGGATGGAAGGTGACAAAAGGCAGGTGGACACCTCCTGGGAGGCAAGAGCTGGGAGGAGAGAGGACAGGGGCTCCTGGGAGCAAAGTGGGAGGTCACATCAGCACAGGGGAGACACGGGGACCCGTCCAGGTTGGGGTAGCACCTAACTCAGGTTGGGACCTGAGCCCGACTGGTCCTGGAGTATGTGCCCATCAGCACATCTGTCCTGAGGAGAGGCTGCAGCAGGCTGGGCGGAAGCATGGAGGGCGGTAGAGAAGGGACATGCAGGAGGCTGGGCAGCAGCAGCTGAACAGAGAGGAGGAGGTGGGGGCAGAGCAGTTGGGAACGGGCACACAGCAGGCAGGCCTGCACACAGGTCGGCAGAGGAGGGACACGCAAGAGGAAGGTCTGCAGCAAGAGGAGGGACAGCAAGCTGGCTGGCAGCTAGACTGTTGGCAACAGGAAAAGGAAGACCCAGAGCAGACAGGTATCCAGCACAGGGGCTTGCAGCACACGGGCATGCAGCGGGGCTGCCGGCAGGGGGAAAAGGAACAGCAAGCTGGCTGGCAGCTAGACTGCTGGCAGCACAAAAAGGAACAGCAAGCTGGCTGGCAGCTAGACTGCTGGCAGCACGAGGGAATGCAGGAGCTGGTGCAGCCTGACTGGCAGGGGCTGGACACACAGCTTACTGGGGTGCAGACCAGGCTCAGGCAAGGGGCTGAGGCACAGCAGCTGGGGGTACAGCAGGAGGGTTCGCAGCAGGTCTCCTGACAATTATCCACCTTCCAGGAGGAGCCAGTGCAAGGGCTGGGGGAGCAGACCCGGCTGCCACAGCTCATGTCACTGGAGCAGACGGATATGGTGGATGCAGCAATAATACAGGTCCTGAAGCAGCATGTGTCAGCCATGATGGGGAGTTGGGGGGGGCAGCTGAAGTGTGTGAGTGGTGGTGTGAGGTGTGAGGTCCTCTGGCTGTTGAGATTTTTTTACCCTGCTGAGTGCATTCTCCTCACAGGAGTCTCATGAGATTTCCCTTTTCTTGTTGGGGCTCAGATTTTGTTTCCTGACAACCCTAATTAGTTTACTTGCTGTGAAGTGTTTGTTGTCACAGCCCCAGGACTTCCGCATGTGACTGGGTGACGATGGGTCACCTGGAGGTGTATTTGTGCCCCAGGAGCAAACACGGTGGTGCAGTGTGTGTTGGTGGAGCTGGAGATGAGTGGGTCATGAACTGGTGTGTCTGGAAAACCTGGCTTCTCTTCCCCCTCTCTTTACTTGTGTATCTTTGGTGTGGTTCTTGTCTTGGGGTATTTTTGCATCAACAAAGGCTCCTCACCTGTCCCGGTCCCCTCTTGCACTGAACGATGGGTGTCGTGGCCAGGAATGCCTCCAGCTCCCACCCTGCCACCTCCACCTGCTCTATCTGCAGACTGGCAGGGTGTCCTCCGCTCGTTCTGGTGCACATCACTCTTGTTGTCCAACCCAGACACTGCTCTTAGGTCTCCTATTTATCTCACTATTACTAAACAACACACACATTCTGTTATTTCTTGCATTTTTAGCTTCAGATATGGTCTGATTTCTTATTATGGAGGAAAGTACTTCCTTCTGTTTATCAGCAGCCCCATGAAAGTTTCCTTTTCTCCCATCCTCAGAAGGCAGTCATCTCTCATATTTGGCTAAATCAGTGTTCATAATGTGTATGGTTTTAATCACGTGAGTATTGTTCATAGCCAAGTGTGTATAGTGAAACCAGATTTTAATTTTCCTACTTGTACATGTGTTATGTGTATTTTTTCCCTCTTGGAGTTAACAATCGCTCCTCTCCAAACTCTCTGACTCATTTATCCTCAAGATTCACTCAAGAGGTTCAGATATAATAACTTATCAGTTTCATTTACTACATGGAACAGCTCTCTTGAAATGCTCTTTCTTCATGGACCAGTGTCTTCTGGTGCACAAGTGCATGGGTGTCCAGGTGCATGGGTGTGCTTTCCCTGTTGTCTTTGGATTTTCCTCATTTGTCTCCTGTGATGAGCCTATTATTTCCTGGATGCCTTGTATTTTTCTTTCTGGGTTTATGTTCTTGTTTTGATGGAGCACATCCTGCAGTAGCTTTTGAAAAATGAGTGTGTGAGAGATTATATATTTTTGAGTCTTAGCATGCCTAAAAATGTCTTTATTCTGCCCTTATGCTTGATTAATATTTAGCTGGATACAATCTTCTGGACTGGGAAGATTTCCCTCTAGAATGTTTTGTGGAACATTTCCAGAGTCTTAAAAGATCTCTTGTGCTGTTTCTCAGTTAACCTCTCCCCTCCCCCACAAGTACTAATCACTGTTCCACCTTCTCTTCACAATGGTTAGGGATGCCTGGTATATGGTCTCTGTTGTTTTAGCTCCCGTTCTTCAGCAAAATGTCTGTGAGAAGCACCACCTTGCTTCATGCATCAGTAGTTCACTCTTTTTTGGGGGGCTGTGCTGTAAGTCATTGCATGAAATCCTACTACGTGTCATTTCTCCATTCTCTTTCCCAATGTTGGAGATTTAGATTGTATCCAAATTCTGGCTGAGATTAGTAGTGCTGTTGTAAAAGTTCTTGTACACTTTTTGGTTGATATATTAGTAGTGCTGTTGTAAAAGTTCTTGTACACTACATGTCATATCTCCATTCTCTTTCCCAATGTTGGAGATTTAGATTGTATCCAAATTCTGGCTGAGATTAGTAGTGCTGTCGGAAAAGTTCTTATACACTTTACTAATTTCTTTTCATCATATACCAAAAAGTAGAATTGCTGGATCATAGATAGTCATATGTTTATTTCAGCATATACTATCCAACAACATTCTGAAGAAATTTACATCCTCACAAGTCAATTTTATGATTCCAGTTATTGTATATACACAATGTGGTCCTGTCAGTCTTTTGATATTTTGTGTATTTTGGAAGGTGTGTAGGAATATCACATAGTTACCATGAGTTGCATATTTCTGATGAGTCAAGCTACTCATTGACCCTTGTTTTCTTGTGAGAGAGCTGTTAAGGTCATTTGCTTGCATTTTTTTTTTTACATTTTTTTATTTTAAAGATGTGGGGTACAATTCAGGGTTAGGTATATAAATATTCATTATGCAGGTACACTTGCTGATGAGGTGTGCCCCTCCCTCCCCTGGCAGTTTCCCACTATTGCCAATCCCTTACTTATAGTATTATGATAATTTGCCTGTGTTTTTAAATGGGTTTATTTGTATTTCTCATTGATTTGTAGACATTTATTATATATTCTGAATATGAATTCTTTATCAAATTTATGCAACAGTGTGTCGGTAAATGTTTAATTATGAACTCTCTGTAAAACATAAACAAAAACCCTGTGTGTCGTCTCTGTCATTGCAATTCTTTCCAATGAAGTTCTTTGGCATTGCAATTTTGCCATAGCTGAGTTCAAGTTCCCAATGTAAAGTTACTGAACAAAGAGCTGGGAAGAGAGAGGTGCATAATCAGCTCCCATGAGCCTGTTAAGAAGGCTTCTGTGTACCACTGGATATGTGAATTGCAAATGGCTCCTCCAAGTCTGGGGCTTAAAAATAAAGTTTAAAACGTACGCATTTAAAAGTTTCCATTTGATGAGTTTTGGGAAAAGTACTCACCCATGTAACCACTTCCACAAACAAGATCTGGAACTTTCCATCATCCCAAATTTTCCAGGTGTACTTTTCACAGTTAATTCCCTTCTGGCCTTGCCCAGGAAACTACAGATCTTTCCTCTGTTTCAAATAGGGTTGTCTTTTCTAGAAGTATATATTACAATTGACCCTTAAACAACATAAGTTTGAACTGTGCAGGCTCACTTACATGAGGACTTTGTTTAATAAATATTTGGAAAATTCTTTGGAGTTTGTGACAATTTGAAAGACAAACCACATAGCCTAAAAGTATTAAAAAATTTAAGTAAAAGTTACATATGTCATGAATGCATAACTTATATGTAGATGCTTGTCTATTTAAAAACATTTACTGCAGCCGGGCTCGGTGGCTCAGCCTGTAATCCTGCGCCTTGGGGGGCTGGGGTGGATTGCCTGAGCCCGTGGATTCAAGACCCGCCTGGGCAACTTGGCGAGACCTCATCTCTACAATAAACCAAAAATTAACCAGGTGTGGTAGTGCGTGCCTGTAGTTCCAGCTACTTGGAAGGCTGAGGCGAAAGGATCGCCGGAGCCCAGCAGGTTGAGGCTGTGGTGGCCGGGAGCAGCCACTGCACTCCAGTCTGGGAGACAGAGTGGGACTCCAACTCAAAAAAAAAAAAATTTACTGCCATAAAATGTGCACAAATTTATTATAAAAAATTAAAATTGATCAAAACTTACACACACAAACACAGCTCACACATGGCACCATTTGCAGTCAGGAGAACTGTAAACAAATATAAAGATGCAGTATTAAATTATAACTGCATAAAATTACTAGTAGAGCATACTGTACTACAGTAGTAATTTTATATGCAAATCCTGTTGCTATTGCGGTGAGCTCAATTGTTGCAAGTATCCACTTAAAATGCCATGTGATAGTCATCATCTCCATGTAAGTAGTTTGTCTCTCTAGGAAATTTTGTATCATACTAATAGTGATCTTTTGTGATTCTCATGTATTTTTTTAAAAACATGTTTAGTACAATGCCAAAAACCTTAAAAACACCCTGAAAACCATACAAAATGCTGCTGGTGGTGCTGAAAGTGATCCCAATAAGCAGACAAAAATCATATTGCAAGAAAAGTTGGCTTTCTTGATACATACCATAGATTGAGTTCTTCAGCTGCAGTTACCACTGTTTCAAGATAAATGAATCCAGTGTAAGGACCATTGAAAAAAAAAGAAAAGGAAATTCGTGATACCAGCACTGCAGATTTTTTTGTGAAATACATTTTTTTAAAAGTTGGAATTTCACTCTATCGCCCAGGCTGGAGTGCAGTGGCATGCTCACAGCCACCACAGCCTTGACCTTCTGAGCTCAGGTGACCTTTCCAGCTCAGCCTTCCAAGTAGCTGTAACTACAGGTGTGCACCACCATCCCTGGCTAATTTTTTAAATTTATTATAGAGATGAGGTCTCGCCATGTTGCCCAGGCTGGTCTCTAACCTGTGGGCTCAGGCAATACTCTTACCTTGGCTTCCCAAAGTACTGGAACTATAGGTGTGAGCCACTGCACCCAGCCGTGAAATACACTTTTCTTTTGTATTGAAAATGCAGCTTTCATGTGGGTGCAGGACTGATATAAGAAAAGCATACCTGTAGACTCTAATAGCATTCATGAAAAAGTGAAGTCATTATGTGGCAACTTAAAGTCAAAGGAAGGTGATGGATCTAAAGCTGGAGAACTTAATGCCAGCAAAGCCTGGTTTGATCATTTTAGAAAGAGCTTCGGCTTAAAAAGTGTCCAGATAACAGGAGAAACAGCTCCTGCTGACCAAAAGACAGCACCGTTCCCAGATGTCATTATGAAAATCATGGAGGAAAAAGGATATCTACTTGAAGAGGTGTCTAATGCAGACAAAAGTGCCCTATTTTGGGGGGAAATTTCCACAAAATATTTTTATTAGTAAGGAAGATAAGAGAGCACTAGGATTTAAGACAGGCAGGGATAGGTTAACTGTACTATTTTGTGCAAATTCAGTTGGGTTTATAATCAGGACTGCCCATTTGTATAACACTTCTAACCCCTGATCCTTGAAGGGAGAAGATCAATACCAGCTGCCAGTCTCTTGGCTGTACAACAAGAAGGCCTGGACAATGAGAACACCTTTTCTGGATTGGTTCCATTGATGCTTTGACTCTGAAGTCAGAAAGTACCTGGAATTGTCCTTTAAAGTTTGTCTGATATTAAGCAATTCCCTTGCTGCCCAAAACCTC